AACACCTACCTAATACTTCCCCTCACTGGCCTCTTTGTTAGAAACATCTACCTTATAACTCCACCACGCAAGTTATCTGGAGGGGACAGTTTCGGTGTCTATCCGGTTTTCCAGGTGGTTGTTAGGAGTCCCATTTTCTCTGGAGCTTTTTTAAAATTCCAGTTATGAAAAAAATCCAAGTGGATTATTTTATATCTAATCTCCTGAGAAATGTCTGCTTTAAAAAAACAAAAAAAAACAAACAACAGAATGAGGCATCAGAACTGCACTGTATCTCACATACAGCCTCTCTCATACATTCCGGAGGATATAAAGAAAGAAGCTCTTCTTTTCTGAGCTCAGTTATAAAACCAAGGAAAAATCCTTTAGGAAGGACAAGAGGAACCTGCAGTGAGTAAAACACGCCCTGCAAAGCTTTTCATTACGCTGAGAGAGGCTCCTCTGTCCACAAGCACATGAGCGTCGGGGTTAAACAACAATACATCCAAACCACTACAAGGTCGATTTCCCCAAACCTCTCACTGCTCTCATTATAACAATCAACAGAGCGATTCTGCTGCTAATACCTGCCTGAGTTCTCCGCTGCTCAAATCTGTTTTATCTATAAATATCAACCTAAATAAATTTCTCATATCCATGATGAATTCAGACCAGGCCGCTCTTCATCAGAACGCACTTATGAAGATAAAGGTCAATATGAAATTATGGTAAAAGAAAAAAACAAGCAGCTTTGATGGGGTTTACATGTTCATGTCCCTATCAGAGATGGTGGGACGAAATGTACCTACAAGCTTCAATGTCGTCTGTTGAAGGAGGTTTGTCCAAAAATGCTAATCTTGGTACCTCAGGTGCCTCAGGAGGCTCCAATACTTGGGATAATCGACTGGATTAGCCCTCCAATACAGACAAATGATGAAAAAATGTAATAAGTGAAGAAATGTTATCTGTTCTGAGAACACTCCATTTTCACATCGTTATCAGACGGGATTTTGCAGTTATGATTCAAATTGGATGTTTTAGACCAGAAGCGCTCAAGTTTTTTGTCTTTAGGGGGCAAATATGCAATAAAAACACAAAACAACATACAAATAAAGGTACACTCTTAGCAAGGGTTCTACATAGTACCAAAGGTTCTCTGACGTAGTAGTAGAAGCTGTTTTAGTGCTGTACCCTTAAAAAAGGATGGTTCTAAGAGCTTTTTAGTAAAGACAGCCATTATATAAAAAACGGTGAACACTCAAAGAACCCTTTTCATGCTTAAAGGGTTCACTGCATCATTAAATGGTTCTTCAGATGGAGAACGTATTGTATATGGTTCTACATAGCACCAAAAAGGATTCTGCTGTAGTTACAATGTCAAGCCTATAATGATAAAAGAACCCTTTTTGGTGCTATAATAAAGACTTTTCAAAAAGATTCTATATTGAACCATATACAATACAGTCTCCATCAATCTGAAGAACCATTTCATGACGCAAAGAACCCTTTAAGTATGTAAATGGTTCTTTGAGCATTCATGGCTCTATATACAGCCACTGTCTTTACTAAAGAACCCTTAAAGAACCATATTTTTAGGTGTGTATGGTTTATGTTTTCATGGTGTTATATATAACCATTACCTTTACAAAAGAGCCCCCGAGGAATCTATTTTTAAAGTGCATTTTTTAAAATAAAATTACATTAAACAAAAACCTTTTTGTTAATAAGAATACACACCGGCTGGAGCACATCAAACAAAAATCCTTCAGGAAGGACAAGAGGAACCTGCAGTGAGTAAAACATGCCTTGAAAATCATTTCATTACCCTGAAAGAGGCTCCTCTGTCCACAAGCACATGAGCGTCGGGGTTAAACAACAATACATCTAAACCACTACAAGGTGTTTTATAACAATACATTACAATAAAACCTTCATATTAATAAGAACACATACCTACTTGAGCACATCAAGCAAAAAAATCCTTCAGGAAGGACAAGAAGAACCTCTTGAACTGTATTAGCACACAAGTCACTTCCATGAACAGCCATGAACCTACACAAGCAGGAGCTCATTAGAACCTTTTAAAACAAGAGATGAACTAGTTTATCATTGAGTTCCTTATATTATCAAAAATGGTTTCATAAAAAAGGTTGATGCTTAAATACTGGATCCTGCAGCCCAACAGTGCAGAGCTGCATGAGAGTCAAAGATTTTATTAACAGCACAAGGGTTTTTAGTAATACAGAGTTCAGTTGTTGTGAGGCGGTCAAAGCTGTACATATATTGTGTATTTTACACTTGCCTCGAATGTGGCTCAGCCAATCAGATATCAGGACCAGAACTATCCATTTCACCAAATTATATATATATATATATATATATATATACACAGTCATTGGGCAGAACACACCCTGGACAGGTCACCAGTTCATCACAGGGCAGACAGACAGACATACACATTCACACACTCACTCACACCTAGGGGCAATTCAGCATGTCCAATTGGCCCGACTGCATGCCTTTGGACTGTGGGAGGAAACCAGAGAACCCGGAGAAAACCCACACAGACACGGGGAGAACATGCAAACTCCACACAGAAAGGACCTTGGTTGCCCGGCTGGGGATTTGAACCCACACCCTTCTTCATGCCATGAATATTTATGGTTGCCAAGACATGAAAAGTGACCACAAGGGGCACCGGGCAATAGGCAATGTCAACGTAGGTCATGAATTGTTGTTTAATTTCACTTTTCAGGTCTTTTATTGAATAAAAGGGGACGGGACACTTGTGTTCTGGAGCCACTCTAGACCATGATCTGTCCCTGGTGTCAATGCTGGGACAGATGAGTCTATGAACACATAGAGAAGGTGGACGACTGGTATTAAAGGAAGATTTTAACCAAAAACATTAGCCTTGCTAACAATGGCTGAAAAGCTGGTAGTGAACCATTAGTATTTAGTAAATAAATCAAGCTAAATGGCAGCTATTAACTTCCATTCACTGTGAGCCACTTCAGCATTTTCAGCCAAACTATCCCTTCAAGCTAAAATGGTAATTAGATCCATTCACAATAAATGCAAATAAAATATTAAACACAAGTTATTAGTAAAACTTGATTGAACTCATTTTGCGCCGCAGACTGAACTCCTATCCTGTCTCCTCATTAACTGTGTTTGATAAAACCTCCATGGACAGCAGCGGGACAAGGAGTGAAGTGCGATCGAGCTCCGAGCTCCATCTCGTCCTGTTTCCCCAAAACGCCCTGAGCACCTGCTCTCGCACGTCCGTGTCAATTCTCATCAGGCTCCTTCATTAGCTAACTCATTCTGATTCCTCCCTGCCTCCTTAATAAACCTACACATAATCTATTGTGACAGAATAATAAAACATGCAAAAAAGATGCAATTAGGAATACAGGCTGTAGAGATGGGCAATTACACTCTCACGGAAGCCCTTATCAACTTTATGATGCCACCCATTTCATCATACCTGCCATCTTTCTCATAAATTATGGACTATAAACAGTAACAGGGCAGAGTCCTGCTAGAACTGGGCCAAGCGGCATATTGTCCAGAACACCCCGCTGCAGAGAGACGGCCCAAACAGCCTAATTCATCCACCGAAAATCAGCTTAATACACAGAAACAGGCTGTGAAACACTGAGGACACGTCTGGGGGGAGGGGGCGGAGACACTTGTGGGCAAATTTAAAGTAATTTTTCAGGACGTTTTCAGGTTTTAAAGGACCTCACATCTGTTCAGCGAATTAACGAGAGCTATAATACCCACTGGGCAGTGTCAGAGTAACAGCACAGCACTTTTATGATGCTTATAACAACTTTGCCCATGTTTACATTACAGGGCTTAAGGGCCCAAATCTGATTTTTTGCATAAACAGGACACACATCAGAGTTCAGTTGCTTTCATTTGAGCTCGTAGATCTGTTTTGTGGCCATGAAGACACTGGTCAGATTTGTGAGTTCACTGTGCAAGCATACTGTCACTGTTCAAAGAAAAACAAAATGCCAACTTTTTGCTGTAAGTTAATGTAAAGAGATTTTATTTCAAGGAATTTTGGAACATCCCCTCTATTGGTCCATTTCACTTAAAGGGCAGCTGATTTTCTCAAATTATGCACAAAATACTTTCTTTACAGACCCTGGCAACATATGACTGTGGTCATCATTCAATGTGGGTAACAGGTCAGCAGCAGCTACAAGTTGGTAATAAAATGTCTTCTCACATTAAATACAGATATGGGAAACAATATGAACTGATAAGACAAAGATCAGCTTTGAGCAAAATCAAATTGAAACTGAGGTTGTAGCATTTTATTATTAAGCACAATTCTAACTAAATTACTTTTCTAATGTAGTTTCTCAAGATTCAACCGGCTAAATGTCCCTTGATAAAGTATCTATACAATTTTCCAAAAATCCCCACAGAGAGCCAAAACTCAAAGGTAGCTTGGGTGCTTATGAGAGAATTACACCACAGTACAAACTCAATAACAATAACAACACTCCATAAAGCTCCATAAAGTGTGTATTATTAATTCATTAACAATAGCCAATTACAGCCATATACAGAAGGCAATCAATTACACAGTACTGACTATACACTGCAGATTCATACTGGATTAAAATCACTCCACAATTATTACAGTCAGACTGTAAAACTACACACTGCAGATTCATACTGGATTAAAATCACTCCACAATTATTACTGTCAGACTGTAAAACTACACACTGCAGATTCATACTGGATTAAAATCGCTCCACAATTATTACTGTAAAACTACACACACTGCAGATTCATACTGGATTAAAATCGCTCCACAATTATTACAGTCAGACTGTAAAACTACACACTGCAGATTCATACTGGATTAAAATCACTCCACAATTATTACTGTCAGACTGTAAAACTACACACTGCAGATTCACACTGGCTTGAATTCATGTTTCATTTTAATTATCCAGTTGATCGGTTAGACTGAAGGACACACTTTTTACCATACCTTGAGAGTTCACGCAGGCCACTGTTTGGGTTCTGGTTCCGGATCCACAGGTCCCTTTTGTGGGTACACAAACCCCCTCGCTCTGCACCTGCCACTCGAAACACACAGGATCCTCACAGGGAATGGCCTCCAGCAGGTGAGGACAGCTCTCTGTGTTCGTGGATCCTTCACCCAGAACCTGCCTTCTCCTCTGCCTGAAACCTGCAGAGACAGGGACATCCACACAGAGGAACGTTACACAGTGAAACAATTCACTGTATAATTACAGTAAACTACTGTCTGCATTACTTTCACAGTAATTTACTGAACTATATTAACAGTAAATAACAGTAAAATAACAGCTTTGTACTGTGACTCCACACTGACCTGCACAACAACACCACTGTGATGTAGTTTAAGTCCCTGATTGGCTGGATCAAGTATATTAGAGTTAAGTAAAGAGGCGGGGCAGCTGATTGGATACAAGATGGAGCTAATCTCTGCAGAAAGGCAGCTCTCCAGGACCAGTGCTGGAGACCACAGCTTTAGAATTTATATTTGCACTTTAAAATGACACATTTAGATATTCTGTCCATATACAGTGCAAAACATGATCAATAAATATGTTAATTGACTTTTTAAATTACCATATTTATAGATCTGGTAAAACTAAGTTAATTTTGTCAGGTGTAAATTTACAGTAATTTACTGGCTACTGACTTACTTTCAAAGTAAGGTTGTGTAAAAATACAGGAGATTTCCGTATTTTAAATACGGTTTATTACAGTAAATCAAAATCAGATTTAGAAAGGCAATCAAATGAAGCTAAAAGATATAAAAACTCCACCTCTCTGTCTGACCAGGACTGTGTGTGCATGTCAGACCGCACAGTGACTGTAACCATGGCAGCACAACATCCCACAGTTTACCACAGTTAAAAAAATATATATCGTCTTTTTAAAGCTTTTATTTTCTGGCACAAGTCGGACTTTGATTTGAATTTGTTCAGCTGGGAAAGCCTACAGCTGCTGCAACACAGCTAAAGTTGGCTTCTTTTTCACCAGCTTCACATTCAAAGTTTCTGCTCCGCCTTAAATCATGCAGCTAGCTGACACCTGCACAGGCTGCAGAAGGTAACAGCTGCACCATTTAAGGTGTTTCATTATGAGTAATTATATCTTTATTGCGAAATCAAAGTGATGTATCTCACAGTCTCACACACTATCAAATTTAAGTTCACGTCACTGCATGTTCTGAAGTTGGCTCTGACGCTGCTGTATGATGTAAACTGAGAGTGGCAGGCAGACAGTTTGAGCATGAGTGTGATCGGGCTGCTGTTTTACAGCCATTTCATAAAATCAGAAACATAACCAAACTGTGCCCGTCTTCCAGAGACAGGTTTAAGGTTCAGGGTCAATACTGAGCCTTTAGAGCTCATCAGAAAGGGTCCTATTCACTTTGAGTGAAAAGGCGCACACCAGTGTTTGGTGGGCGTTTCTGGACGAGCTGTTTTGGGAGAGTATCAGTGGTAGAAAGTGACCTTCACATAAAACTGCATTGAACGTGCTTCTTTCAGGCAGAACAGCTGCAGGTGCCCAAATCTAAAATCGGTTTGACCGGCCTGCTTTCACACTCATGTCCAAATGGCTTGTGCACACAAGGCTTCACGCGTGTTCACCAGCACGTACATTTATGAAAAGATGAAATGAAAGATTCATAAATGGACTCTTCAGCAACAGAGATCAGCAGAGTGATGTGTGGCTCTGTTCTAATGGATGTGTGTGACTGTTGAAATAAACTCATTTCAGAACTCACCTGAATATTAATCAGGTAGACTCATCTCAGTTATCTAGACCCATGAATGCTCAAAGAACCCTTTGCATGATTATAGGGTTCTTTGCATTGTGACATGGTTCTTCAGATTGATGGAGAATGTGCTGTAGGTGGTTCTATATAGAACCTTTTTGGAAAGGTTCTGTGTTGCACCAAAAAGGGTTCTTCTATTGTTACAAGCTTGGCACCATTAAAATAGCAGAACCCTTTTGGGGGCTATATAGAACTCTTTCCAAAATGGTTCTTGATAGAACCAACTACAGCACATTCTCCATCATTCTGAAGAGCGATGTCAGCAAAGAACCAGAGGATCATCCAAAGGGTTCATTCATGGTTCTATTTCTTCTATATCTTTACTAAAGAACCCTTGAAAAAACATCTTTTTAATGAGTGTAGTTTGGAAATAAAACAAAATAAATCATAAATAAAGTTTCTTGTAATGTTTAAAGACATGTTTGAGTTTGTTTGTAGAAATGCAGAGATTGTGGTGAAGATTATGTTTTTAGTATATTCTTATTGCACTTTTCCTTTGTTTTAAATTCATTTTTTTGTGTTTTTTATTCTACTTATGTACTTTTTACTTTCTTTTTTGATTATATTTTTATAACTATTTATGCAAAAGCCTTTTTGAAGCACGGGATCACAGGATTTCATAAGCTGTATTAATTAATATTATTTAATGCTTTTATTTTTCAATGTTTGTGTAAAGCGTCTTGAACTGCCACTGTGTATGAAAGGTGCTATACTAATAAACTTGCCCTGCCTTCTGCTCGCTCATATTGACTCACGCTAAGAAAAATGGACAGAGCAGAATTAAAAGATGACAAAGATAAATCACAAAATTAATGATAAGATCAAATATGACCACCCTCGTCTTCTACCTGCACACCATAAACAAATGTTCAACATTCTGTTTTCAATTATTTTGGTTGTGATATTTGAATATTAGTTGTAAAATAATTCTGGGCCGCAAAATTAAAACAGTTTCAGTTGTGATGGTTCTGTATATAATTATTGCCTTTAATAAAGAACCCCTGAAGAACAGCTTTCAAATCCACTTTAGAAATGCCTAGGAATGCCTGGGTGCATGTCAAGGGGTCTGATCCACTAGGTGCTCCCCTGAGAGCAATTATGACAAAATTTAAACATCTGTCTTGACTCTTGGTGGGAACTTTACTAGCAGCACAGGGGAAAAATGAACTAACTTCAACCTCGTCATTGTGTTAAAGCTCTCCACTTCATTTTATCCTCCACTATCTGCCATTACATCGGTCAAGCTTTCAGGGGTTTTACACAGTGAGCTGGTGCTCTCATGAAATCAAAACTCCAGATATGGACCATTCTACCAAATTAGTTCAAACTCCACAGTAAAAACAAAACTGTTATAAAAAGTATTCAGAGCTTAGATATTTACAAGGATAACATTATGATCTTTTAAACTCAAGACATTAATAGAGATAGTAATAAGGTAAATATATACACAATCATCATTTATAGTGTACTTTCTTTTGGGAGGTGTCTGTCCTAAACCCTAATCCCTAAATTTACACTTCTGCAAATAATACTTTTTTTTTTCCCAAAGTTTTATTTTTTACATATTTTTGATTGAGTGAAGATAGATTTATTGTTAATGTACTTTTCAAATGAAAAAAACAAAAATAATAAAAAAAATAACTGTCCCATGTTTTCATGTCACTACCGAAAGACAGAGTCTTAGTCTGTAGGCGGAGCCTTATTTTAGCCACACCCTGCATTTTAGAGCAGGAAGTGAGGCTGCATCCCTGTCCCTCATGGCCACATGGTGAGCAGTTAGATCCCATTGTTTCGAAGTAAATGTGTCCCAAAGTCTGAAAATCAGTGTGGAACATTAAGAATTGTCACTACCAAAACACAGATTTTCTGCAGTAATTTTTAGTGTTTTAATGTAAAATATGATGATTTTCTGTGTGAACAGCTGTTCAAAGCTGTGTTTGCTGGTCATGTACTGGCTAGCATTTTGATTTCTGCTCAAATTAAGCTAAAATTGTCACTACAGAAACAGTCACTACTGAATCATTTGGTAAAGTTTGGGTAGAGTCATGATTGTTTTGGTAGTGACAAAATGGAAAGTTTAATCATTTGTTTTAATAAAATAATCATAATTAAGGTTTAGAGTCACTCGAAGCAAAAGGATTTTAATCTAAAGTCCAAAATCAGTTAAAAGTCCCAAATGTGTTTCAGCTCTGGCTCTGAACCAGTTCAGTAGAATAATACATATACAGACGTCCCAATAAGACCCAAAAGACTCAATACCGCAATAAGTGGAGGATGTTCATCCACAAAGCCAAACACAAAAATATCAGTCTAAGTTAAAGAAAAAAGTTGCTGTGTTGTCTACAGTCTATTTCTGAGCATAAAGTTATCAAGCTACCTCTAATCTAGGCCCTAATTCTAACCACTAAGCTATTGGTTGAGTTTCTCCAGACCGTTTGTTATCAATTAGAGCATTTGTAGATAAATATTGAGTGTTATAGATAAATAAAATGGGACCAAAATGCTACTAACACCACCAACCACCACTGCAACACTGACATTCTCAGCCCCCAGAAGCCTCTCACTGCAGAGTTCGTTAAGAATCACACATCCAGGCATTCTGTCGCAGCTCTGTTTGATCAGCCTTTTGTTCTTCAGTATTTCCCGAACACTTTTCAGGCTGTTTGTCATTAATATTTCATCCTTTGGCTGATGTTCAAACAGCCTGCATTAGACAGTCCCCGCAGCACTGCGTTATGTTATACAGCCACACCAATGAGAAGTAATAACAGTGTTCAAATAAAGCTGAATGGGATACTTTGACACAAATTACACTTTTGTTGTAATAAAAAGTTCTCTGCGTATATTTTCAATCCATCAGGTTGTTAAATTGTCACTAGCTGTCAGTTAAAGAGTGGAAAATGTTTTCCTGTATCAGTTCCAAAGACAGACAGGACCTTTACTTCAATAAAACAAAGCAAATGCTTAGTTGATAAAACTACAAGCAAGAAAAGGCCTCTTGATCAGGTGCGCACATGATACGGAAATGTCCATGTTAAACTAAGAAGTTACAGTTGTGTTCTTACACAGGAGATGGATATGTGGAAATAAACAGGTTTGATTTAATTTTGATTCTGAGGTTAAGGTTTTTGATATTGTAGCACTCCACTACCGGCTCACGCTGCCGTGTGAGCGTGAGAGGCCTGGCCATGCAGAGCGGCCATAGGCACAGGCTCTCAGGAGGCGCTGCACTCATGGTAGGAGAGACATTTCCTTGTAAATAAGTTGTTGTTCCTCAGGCTAAGATGCGTACATGTGTTGTGTTATGGGCTTAGTTAGTGGGTCTGTGTCTCTACCCTGAAGGGAAAGGGTGTGGT